ATGGTTGGCCGTATTACTTTACTTTAACTTTGGCTATATCTGCAACTGTTATTGTTCCCAGTTTCTTAATCTCTCTGATACCTTCAGACAGCCAACCACTTAAAAACCCATATGAGATCGTTGTACAAAACATGCACAATTACCTCTGTTATGCGATCTCGTTGTACAGACTGATCAGACCACTCAGTTGGACTGTGCCTCGCACCGTCGAGAAATAGACTGTTTATTTATTTACTTATTTACTTATTTAGATTTTCATTCATTTTTAGATGCTTTGTTGCGCAGGCCACAGGTTGTGCATTTTTCGTTTACTCAAAGGGAAACGCTGGGACTGGGATGTAAAGCAGACTAATGTCACTGGCCCATCTGAAAGCAGTCACCTTTATGTTCAATTCTGCGATTCTGGAACTGAATTCCTGGTTGACACCGGGGCTGAAGTCAGCGTAGTCCTTCCCGCACATGCGGAGATGACTTAGCAGGTCACCGCTAGTTTCGTGTAGCCAACAGCACACTTACCGCTGGCTTGTAGACATGGTTCAGTCATCAGTTGACAATAGAATCAAGTATACCCGAGTATGTTTTCTGGACTACAGCAACGCCTTCGGTTGCGCAAACCACGAAATTCTTTCGACAAATCTACCCGGTGCTGCAATACACTTTTTTGCTAGCACAAAACGAACTTCTCTAAGAAATAACAAACCGGATAATGCAATGCGGATCTAGTTTTTATACATTATTGATACAACTTTTAAACTGCATTTATATCATGCCGTATCGCTGTAAGCGTTTTTGTTAAGGCTATATATTCACCCGTTTTGAGTGCATAAACCTTTTCTTGATTGACTTAACTTGACACAAATTACGGCCAACGCTCTTTATACATCAACATAGTCTCTGTAATGCAGTCCGCTAGGTGTTCGGTATTGCCGCCATTTCGTTTGCTATTATCAGCATAAACTTCCTTAGAAAATTTAACCACTTAGTCGATGTGAAACAAATGAGGTTACTCAACCCCGAAACGACGCTCAGCGCCACCGGCACAATCACCCCAGTCTACGTCCACCCGAAGAGCTCTTCCGACTATGCCGAACGTTCCACTCATTTCGCTGAGCTCGTTCAGCAAATGAACGCATTTCTGCTCTTAGCATCGCAAGCCACGCACCGCATCCGAAATAACCCCCTACCAGTCCCATCGCACCCATTCCGACTTTTACCCGAGAAAAGCAAGATAGCTAGGTCGGAGTTTGAGCACATGCTCGAACTTGGAATAAGCCATCCTTCCGATAGACCTTGATCCTCACCACTCCAGATGATCCCAAAGAAATCTGGAGACTGGCGTCCTTGCAGTAACTACCGGGCACTAAATGAAATTACGGGCCCCGACAGGTGCCCCATCTCACACATGCAGAACCTCACTGCATTCCTCACATGTAAGACGGTCTTCAGTCAGCTCAACCTTGTTCGTGCCTACCATCAGCTAAGTTCAGAGGAAAAAAAACGTTCCTACAAAGCCGCCGTCACACCGGCTTGTTCTAATTTGTAAGGGCAGTATATACATTGTGCAATGCTATATCGACCTTTCGTCGCTTCATATACGATGTCACTCGTGGTCCAGACTTTGCTTACACTTACCTAGAAGAAATTCTTGTAGCCACTACATCCGACGAAGAGCACCTCGCTCATCCTCAACACTCTTCCAGCTGTTGTCTCACAACGGAGTCACGGTTAATTCGAATAATTGCAAACTTAACATGTCAAGGTTAAAATTCCTAGTCCACCTCCTCTCGTCCTTTGGTATCGAGATTCTACCAGGTAAGATCCAGGTTATTAAAGACAACCAAGCTTGGACTTAATTTAAACATCTCCGTCGATTTTGTGCTGTAGTCAACTACTATGGACACTCCATCCTTGACTCCGTTTAGCTCATGCAACCTCTGGCCGACTATATCAGAAGAAAACGAGCATAGGTTCGCTTTTCCCAACACAGCACAAACGGTCTTCACGGAGCTAAAGCATGCTATCTCCAACATTGCTCTCCTCCCTCACGCTGAACCGCCTACTCCACATTCTCTTAATACTGAGACCTCAGACGTTGCGGTAGGAGCTGTTCCTTAACAAAACGTTGGTGGGCTGTGACAACCTCTCGTTCTTTTCTCTAAACGTCTACAACAGAAGGAATTTCCTTACGGCACGTTTGGTAGAGAACTGTGTGCCATTCGTCTACTTTCATTCTTATGAACTACACGTTTTCGTTAAAAACGAAAAAGCAGAGAGAAAAGAAATTCTCAGATTGGTTCATTTCTACCTCACGATTAGCTAACAGTTCTTAAGCGCAGACAAGTTGACACTTTCCTCCATTTGGATGGTCTAGTTTGTATCACTGTTCTAGTTATGTGCCAGTGCGTATTCTTCTTCTCAGCACCATCAACAACCTCACCTCCATCCACTGGAACGTGTCATGCGATCATCAGTGACAGAAGAAGAAAAAACCAGAGGACGAATCAAGGTGATTCTGCCGATCAGGAGGATGGCCCTAATTTTAAGTCACGGGAATAGGTGTAGAACCTGGAGATTTTATCATCGATATATACTAAATTATGACTTATAGACCACGTGAATAAGTACATTAGTAACTGTAGCGGTGCGCAATCCAACTCTCTATCTTTTACGTCTACATACAATAGGAGGCACATATTGTTACTACCGGCCTGCGCTGTTCATGGGTTCAGTCGTTTTGAAAACGAGCAATTAGTATTTGTTTATTTAAGAAACAGCGCAATCGGAAGTGGAGTTTCCTTTTGATGTAAAAACAGAGTGGCACAAGTCTGTGCATAACTAATTCTGATGATAGCCATGCGGTTGGAAAAACATCACTGAACGTAGACAGTCATTTGGTTTGTTTGATTAGTGAATGTTATCACCATCGCTTAATATACATTGCCAGGGGGCAGTTTGGTATCCGTGCACCAACTTAACTGGGCTAGGTATCATGTGCATCAAAGATACCTGCCAAGGTAGTCCTGAATTTCGCCCTGACAAGTGATGATGGGCACTGCGCCTGCCTCTCTAAGTTAGAGTCACCGCACCCACGGACCAAGTAAGCCACATCAGACGCTGATTCCGAATACTTGCCATATTTGATGAGCAAAAACACATTGGTCGAGCTAGGATGCCAACGGTTTGCACCTGCCGCGCTGCCAACCATCTTGAGTGCTACGCGATCAAATTTTCAATCAACGTGATATTTAGAGTTCAGAATTAGTATCTTCCTCATGGCAGAACCCATGGGCAGAAACTGGTACCAACATGCAATGGGCAGAAAAATATTAGCTGGAAGTATGGCAGAAATAGTCGCAGCTTTGTGTGAACTATGCCCCAGCAGTATTAAACATAATTTAAATGTGAAACAACGTCATCGTATGAACGATTGCATGTCGCTGCTGTTCGTAAGAGAAGAGACGCATGTCAAACCGCAAAATGTCAACCAGTAACGATCCTGCATTTGTTTTTCAGCTTCGCAGATGACAGTGATGGCGAACTGGTGAGTTCCTCGGATAATTATCATTTCATCTGTCTGGCGCAGTGTACTGTTCAAAAGGGTCAATTGTGTGTCAGCACACTACCGACTTCACTCTGTCCATGGATTCAAAATGCTGATGCTAGAATGGGGTCAACTTCATCCACCTCTACACCGTTGGAGCGTTTATCACCGAGTCAGTGGTATCCAGCTTCACATACTGCACTGGCGACTAGATTTTAAGATGGACTGGTATTAGATCTTGAAAAGGCACTTGGTAACATGCATCCGGGGTTCCTTTTGACCCGGTCCCAGTACAACGCGGATTTCACAATTCCCCAGAGTGTAGCTGTGTCTGTTTTTGGCTTTTAAAATCGATTCATTGTAAATTAGCTTCTCAGCCGTTTTACTGCCTTGGAGGGAGTTAAAAGTCAAAACAATCCGATGTGTTCTAACACCCATCTGTCAAGTCTGCTGACTGACTTATCTAGAAAGTAGTAAAATTTCAAGTGGTAATAATGGGATTTATAATTTGCTTCAATTAGACTCAGTCAGATGGTTGTCACAGGCATAAAAATAGTAATTGGCCCTTGTATCCTTTCCAGATTTGTTCAAAATGTCTATTCCACCATCTCCGATAGAAAGTTCGCTAGTGACCTATGCCAATGGTTGGCGGCATCCGGTTTCGGATTTGCCTGTCACTGTGGCAAGCCACAGGACGCCTGCGCCTACAGAGGGACCATGGGTGACTTGCGCTGCACCACCCACAGCTCCAACCACACACCCCATATCCAGTGTAAACCCGAAGGAATAAGACCGGGAGGCATACGGATAGGAACCACGTTTCATCAACGGAGCCGGCCCACACTCCTTCACAGGCAAACATAAGCACACTGTATTTGGGAATCAACCACACACAATGCGGTGGCTGGACCGTAGTGCGCTCCACACTGAGTGCATGGAACCACTCTTCGAGCCTAACACGGCCACAAGGACCGTGCACCCCGTCCCCTCCAGCAACGACCAACTGTCTCCTGGAGCCAGTATGGACGATGTAGTGGGTAATAGACAGGTAGGCACCTTGTCAACATGCACATCAAGCGCAGCCACATCGGGGATATCAAACAACAGCCAAACACTTGAGGGAGAGAGAGAAGGAAAGAAAATAACTCGATAGATGCATACGGAAACGGTGACGTAAACCTTAAGTTAATGAGCATATGAAATAAGTTATTTACAAACGAATCCTAGATAAGTTCAAGAGTTATAGATTGCGAGAATACAGTTTGCTGACCTATTTTAATATCATCACCCCATGGCGCTTGTGATGAACTGCCTCAGCTACTTGAAACGAGTTTCACCGCCTTTAGCAGAAATCCTCAAGCAAACGACTGCACAGAAAGTAGCCATACCAAGGGAACAAGGCGTACACAAGTTAAACACCCCCGGAATCAGCAAAAAATATGTCGATTCATTGGCCATCTTTTATTCTCAATTCGACTGTACATTAATACATAAACATTGCAGGTCTCCATCGAAAGATCATTGCTTCCGTTTTACACTATCCAGTTCACGAGTTTACCAATCAACACATTCAACTGATCGCTTGGGAGCTCACCAGCTAGGTAGAGCTATTCTGCTTCGAGACTGGTTGTCAGAAGATACTTTCAGAACACGGATGTTTGAACTTTACATTTATTTTATATATAAAAGGTGTCTGGGCTGAAAACAAGTCAGCTCCTTTCTAAGAGTCAGCCAGAGAGTTTACAAGCTCATTTAAATCAAGTTTTCCATCTTTGTCCAAATCATAATCCTCAATGAATTGTTCCACAGTTGCCCTGTCTATTTTATCACCGCAAGACTCCATGAGTTCCTTTAATTCCTTAACTCCGATTTTGCCGTCACCATTTTTGTCCAAATCGCTCAACAACTCGCGTAGTTCTTCTTTACTGTGAAGGAAAAAATTGACACTAATCTGTAAATCATGTTAACCCCGGATTGCTTTTGTTCATGCGTATAGACATAAGAGAAGTCCCACTATGATAAACATGACTTTTCAATGGGGAAAGATAGGTTTGGACTTGTGAGTAAATGAATGTGCTTATGATTCAAAGCATTAAATACAATCCATCGAGGAAATGCTCAATCTGCAGAATGGCTTTAATGCTGAACAGCTGATGAACAATAAACATGGGTGCAGACAAACATGCCTTTTTAAATTTTTTTAAAACATCATGAAAAGTGTTCGCTTGCCCTACTGTTGCATTTTCAGCGTTAGGTTCCTTGTCTTCTTAAGAGCACGGGACACTGAAATTCCAATGGATGCTGCCTTACCGATATTATCACAACTGGCTAACTACCTCAAGCCATTAACCATACGCATCCGATATACATGAGGAGAGACAGAATAATACTGATATGCTCTAGTAGTGAACAGCTGGATTTTCTTATCCTAGTCAGCTCGCTAAATTCCTACGGGATTGGATGCGGCTTCTAACAACGGGTAGGATCCAAATTATTCCAAGGAGAGTGCTAATCATTCGGATGATGCGCCGTGAAAATGTGTCGGTAGCGACCCTGCAGCAAAAGTTGCAGAGACCTATGCATTCGACAGACAACTGACACCCAAAACAGTTATATCTATGGATCTCACCGGAATAACCTTATCCGAGACGGAAATAATCAGTAAATGTAAAAAAGTGATGAGCACTGAGTATGAGGCCGCGTAACAGCGAAGTTGGTGATAAACAATGAAAATACCTTTGCAGTGGTTGTGACATGTATTTCTAAGATTTATTTATGCGTACGAGAGAGTTGGCCAGGTGTGGGATAGAAGCGCGAAACCCCCTAAGCAGTAGTTCCCTCTTAGTGTAGTTGAATGCACTATCGATGAGTGGAAAACATATATGCATGGATGCGCACTAGTGTGTCGATGATGACCGCATATAAATAGTATGTGTAAGCGCACCCGCTTAAGGATACAAATTTACTGCGGTTTTCATATTTGATTACCCGAATGCGTTAGAGTGTGCAGCGTGCTGACATGAATTTAAAGACTGTACGGACAACATACGTCTAACTCTACTTGAAAACGTTTTCCTGTGTAGCACTGTGCTGTTGCTTAAGGGTATTTGTCATTTTCTACGGTTTGATTAACAATGTGGGCAAAGATCAGATAGAAATTTGGTTTCTTCCCCCAACTATGCTGTCAATTTAAGGGCATGGCAATCGCAGTTACATATCATTCTCCATTTCTCATACAGTGAGTTACCCATGAGTGTGTGGAACATGTGCATTATTAAATATTTACCTTTTTGAAGAGAGTTTCGGAGCTGCTGTCTCCAAACACTGCACGCCACTACCGACCGTTTTTGTCTTGGTTTGGACTCGTCAGGTAAAGATAGCCTGAGCAGAGAGGGAAAACTGATACAGCGCCGCAATCTAGCCACACAGTGTGTACTCAAAGTCTCATCAGTGAGTTTCTAACCGCTATGTCAAACGCAGCTCATGGAGCTGTGGCTTAGTGACGATGACGAAAGCCGTCAAACTCTGTTTCGGGATCCACTCTCTAATCAAACTATCACTACCTGACGAGTCTAAATCAGGACGGAACCGGACGGTCGAGCAGAGCAGTGCTGGGAGAGAGCATCTCCGAAACTCTCCATTTCTGATGCAGTCCCTTTGATCGAAATTGTATATGTTTGCTACAAAACAAACCGTGATTTAAATCTAGGTCGCGTGTCACAATCCAGATACACGGGGGATGCTCCAAGGTCCAACAATGAGTTTAACGTATTACTTCCATCATTATATTCGTGAATTATCAGGGTCAAATATTTTGCCTCTGACAAATGCGAATTGGCGAACAGCTACGCTGCAACATTTCCACACGCTGTCGCACCTCTCCATGCGTCTGTTTTTTGCAGTAAGATTGCCAGCCTACTCGTACATTGCTTACCGTAGTTAATTTGGATCAATAACTATGGTAACAGGAATTTACATCTTGTTTCCTTCACACAAACCGTGCTTAAAGATTAGACTTGCTAGTCCACAGTTTCCGTTTCTGTATCGTGCTATTCATTTGGCGAAGGCCTCTTATGGTCGCTGCATAGTTAAATAAGGAATAATGTCTGTTGCTAACTTTGTTGCTGATGATGATGTTACTGGTGATGAGAAACTGCAGTATGCCGAAACCCGTATTAGAATGCCGCTGTCGACCTTGACTAATATGAGTTTACCGGCTAAGTAGTAGAAGCGTGGTGACCGTTTTGGCCAGGGTATTACGTCGGTTCTGCTGCTTAGTAAAAGAATAAATTTTAACAGACGAGGTGTGTGATCTTTCTTCTGATGTTGCTCTTCGTTCATCGTCTCTAAAGCCGGTAACTTACAGATCGTGCGTGTCGTTGGCTAGACTGGATAATTCACTGGAGCCTGTAGGATCGGCAGTTCGAGACCGTGAATGATGAGTTAATTGGCATTCGCCAGTTTCCATTGGTGGGTTTTCCGAACCCAACTGTAACTGTTTCGGTTCCTACATGACGTCCTGTTTTCAGTGACAAGAGCTGATCGCATTTGAAAATGACCCAGATCGCTGTTAAATACATGTGCGATGCGTTGGAGCCAACGTGACCCGAACAACGTTTCAGCCGACAATACACCTTTCATATTGGGCACAGTGCTGTTGTCGTATAGCCAAGGAACTCATGGTAGGGCCAATGAGTAATCTGTGCAAGCACTTCGGACGATCTCACACGGTAGCTATTGCCCACATCAACACTTTGACGGATGGCTCTAACATGAGGCCTGCTGATTTTGCGGCCGTCACTCTTTTAGCTGCGAAATTGCGGTTCTGTTACTGAAGAATGAAATAGTTAAGACACGAAGCCGATCTGAACATGTGGCGGAAACTCAGTTTTATAGTCAGATGACTGTCCAGTCATTTGCCGCTCAAGTGGGTTGGGCATGCCGCTAAGGTCAACCGGGTGTACAGAGAGCCACATTGCATTAGCTCAACTTAGTTCTTGGATGAAACAGCCAAAGCAGTTGGCATATCTATTCATCGCTTCACCCAAAGTATTCGTGATGAATACAAAATCTGCCATCTCATCTGCGAGACGAATGCAAGCAAGTGGTTAAGCGAAATAACATCCGCTGTACACACACTAGCCTCGGTTACTAGCCTGGTAGAAACGCGGCTCCACTGAGTAAAGTAATTGGCAAGCGGACTTCACGGAGTGCACGAGTTTTTCCAATAATTATGATATACTTTCCAGCTGGGGGTGGAGGTATCCTGTTTGACAGCTGAGTCGGGGATAGCAGTTTGCGCCCTATTCTACAAAACCTCAACATCAAACTGGAAGTGGTGGTCATTTCTGCGTGATTGTGCGGGCAGCGCATTCATATTAAACATGTTATGGGGCGGAAGTGACTAACCGCTGAAACCATTGTGAATCCAACCACAAAGAAATGTTGTTCCCAATCCTTCCAGAACCGTAATTTTAAGGTCTTTGGGCTATCTTCTGGTAGAAAGGAACGTCACGGTTTAACAGAGGTGCGATCCAGCGCCGCTTACTCTTACAATGGCGAACCCCAGTATACCGCGCTGAGCGTGGAACCAGGGTCAATGCAGTCCAGTCGGCGTCAGTGACAACTGCCCTTAAGTGGGTCGAGCCAAATTTAATCCTGCCTCATGGTTTGTCAAAAACCGACTGGCAACTGTTCTCCGAGGAATTAACTTAAAGTAACCGAGAGAACATTAATATGAGCTTAGGTATCATATTAGGAATTAAAACGAAGAAAGCAAAAAGTGTGTAGGTTTGGGCGATAAAAAGTGTACTTACCTCGGCATAATGATCCAGTGGTGTATGGAACCTTCTAGCAGAGTGGACGACTGCCAATGATGGGCTTCAGGAGTAAAATTACAAACAAGCAAGCGATGGAATTTGTTGGTCCGAAGATGTGCTGCAACTATCGCTGACTGTTTGTACAAACTGGATTTTCTTGGCAACACGGTAGAGTGTGGCCCACACGCGGATTGTGGACGGACCGACACTTGTGTTTGGTGTTTCAAATTGATTGCCAATGCCATCACACCTACCCGCTCTCACCAGCATTTCTCACTAGCCTTTGTGATTGAACTGGATTTTAGTAGACGGTGCTCCTCACAGTGTGAACAAATGGCACTCACGGTTAGACGGTGATACTGCATCATTGCACGTATAACATCGGTCGACCAGTGGATGAACATGCAGCGCCTTTGCTCACGCAAAAATAGTGTTGCTAAGCCAGGTGAACGCAGCACAACTTACAGTAAGGTAGTCGGGTTTACGGAATTGATAGAGTACAGTGGAAAGGCCGATAATGTTACATTTTGTTAATCTTAAATAGTCTTCCTACGTGAGCTGCGGAATTTGCAGTAAGTATAACGGGCACTTTGAACACCATCCAAAGCAATGTAGTTTAGAAAAACTTCCCTTTTTCTACTGCCGTAATAGAACGCCCAAGTTGTTGACAAAGTCATCAGTGACTGAACCCTCCGATTCATCGGCACATTCTTCAAGTGCACAAAATATTTTTGGCAATTAAACAACTGTCAAAAGTATGCAATGCAGTAACTGCTTTGTTATGGTGTGTATGAATGTGTGTTGTAAGACACTTTCATATGGTGAAATTCCGCAAGTAATACCAGATTTTGCTGAGGTTCTGAAACACTTTTTTTGGTAGTAACTACAGGTCGGTCTCCTTTTTATTCATAAGTCACACCTGCCTTCTATAAACGACTATGCCAAAGTCTTCATTATTCTCAAGGTACTGTAAATCAGTTAACATGGACGCGTTTGCTACTTTACTAAGGCATGCTCAGTGGGGCTACTTCGTCCTCACCCACAATCCGCAAGCGGCTGCTGATCTGTATAACAACCTTAATTTCTGTCTCTACTTGTTGGCGCTTAACAAACAGACACCTTTTTTAGGTCGCAAAAAGACTTGTTGCTACGGCCTACCGCAAAACAAACGATTTCTCATTCATGGTGCACAACCATAAGAATGCCACATTGCTGAACTGGCAGTTGAATCAACAACCGTGGACCGATCAGTCCTTTAAAGCGCAGATCTACGAAGCTTAATCAAATACATAATCCCACTCGTAGCACGAGATTGCTGCAACTTAACAGATCCTGTTCAAACTAGTGATCCATTAACCCAATATTGCTGCGCCTCCTTAAACGTAAACATTGCATCCATATACATGGTGTTATCATTAGTCATGGTCAGCTTAACTGTACCAAATTTAAGCTCCATGATTTGGAAAACAGCCGTACCGGTCGTACATTCGTGCACTCTTGTTTTTTCCTCACTCTTCTGCATGTTGTCACAAACCACTGTATTCACACTTATTCATCTCGATTCGACAAACCTTACATTATGATATTACTTTTTCTCTTTAGAACACTGCCAGGATATCTTACACTTTTACGGAATAATAAAATTCCAGCAGTGTTTCACTGATACCAACGCGCATTTTGCACAGTTTCAGTTATCGAAGCCCAAGTTCGGTTTTATTCGATAGGGCATTCTAATGGCGGCTAAACAGACTCTCAGTGGTTCCAGTTCAATAGTGTGTGGATAAGCTACAGATAACTCTAAGTTTTCCTCTTAGGGGACCCCACTCAGTACCTAGGAAAGTTCGGTTTGCCATCAGACATTGACTGTGGGCGGTCGATACACCGAACCACGAAGATCCCTTCCACCGCGTTATCATATGACTGCAACCCAGACACACAGCCGCATTTTGCCCTACACTACATGAGGACAAATGCATAGAGATTCCGCCTAGCATTCACACCAGAGAGACATAAACCGCGTGAGTTTGTCCTTAACAACCACGATAAAGCCAGAACGTGACTCGAGGTGTTTACGTCCCCGCTTACTCCTCCAATCAATATGCTAACATGTGTCGGCCCCATCACCAATTTCCTTGACAATGTTTGGGATCAGCCTGCTAGGGTAGACCCTGTGGCAAGCTACATTTACAAACTTGAAAATCACAGTAGCAAGCGCTGCTTGGCCACGGAATGCTGGTTCCACGGCTTCAGATTTGAACGTTAATTGTGGCGCAGGAAGCTGCGTTGAGCATGTAATATTTGGGATGAATCCAGCAACTGCTGTAAAAAAACATCCATTCTAGCTGTACTCGCCTCAGTCTCAATGGGATAAAGAAACGTAATAATATGACCGGTTCTGCTGGGTTCTGTGCTGAGTGTATGACTATTCCACTTGACACATGTATAGGTGCGTTGGCGAAAAAGTGCGACAGACTGATGCAGAATGTGCATCCAGCAAACGCCTTGAGATCTGTATCACTGGGACACGACGGGCCAGTGCCTGAAATGCGATGCCCAAGCTTAACCTCTAATTCAGAACAGAGTTCTCAAGCCAACTATAAGAGTCAAGATTCGGATTTCAGTACCCTATATTGAGAGATGCCTTTGATGATGCTTTCCTCGCACATGCTTCAGCAAGGCCACGCGTTACACCAAGTAGAGTTGGAGGACGGAAAACACACGTGTCCACTGTTGCAAATCACTTGACAAAGGCACCACCCATCGTAGCCCTGCAGCTGCCAAACTTGTTGCAGTTAGTGCTGTCACCACTACCACCGGACCTAGCAGGCCATCTGTTGTCCGACCACAGAAAACAGCCATACACCCCCCAAATAGGAGGACGCCCGAAAACATCATAAGCACCTGACTGTTATATACTCCGCTGTGCCTGAAGCTGAGTCAAACTCTAGCACAGGCAAACTACTAGACGACAGGAAACAGTGGAACTCTTTGTGTCAACGAACAGAAGTCCAAGCTATGGTGAGCAGGACGATGCGCCTCCTCCGTCATCCTAACTTGGTGCCCTACGATGAACTGCGGTTACTCTAGGTAAGGCTTTAGTCAGGAAATGATCCAAAGGCAGTTCTCTTGTCAGCCGATCGTTCAGGTACCATGCTTGCACTGTTCGCACTTTTTCACATGTTCCTTGAGCAAGCGCCAGAATAACGAACTTCAATGAAGCACGTGACTAGGATAAATAGTGCTTCATCCGTGCAGTGCTGTCACTTAATAGGGACATCGGCAATTCAACACCATGTTTGTCCTTATCACCCAAGTACAAGTAGAACAGTTCACGACTGAAAATGTAACAAAGCAATCCAAATCCATGGCAAAGTTTGTCTAAATATGGTATAAATGGCATAAAATGCTGTTATCCGCAAAACGCATAAATGCGATGGATACCCAGCCACTACTAGACAAGTTGGCACTGCAAAAGTAAGTTGAAAGTACAACCCCATCAAGAGGCAGCTCAGAACCAGGACACTGTCGAAAACTCCCCAAGACTGATGAAGTACTAGGCCATAAGGAAACCTGGTGACATGGAGCACTCTATACACAAACTCGGCTTTGCCCCGTGGTCTGAGACTACAGTTCGACAAAAAGACAACTAGCAGCTGACCCCACAATCGTCAGCGTAGACTTGCACCGGAAATTTGCATCTGCAAACACGCTTTTGACCGCCGAGGCCCTCAGTTGCCTTAATATCTACGCACAAACTACTCAGCTAGTTAACAGAGCTTCGTACCCATCAGGTTTCCACTTCATGGGACATAGTCATACTAACCGGAAAACATTTGTATACTGAGATCAACGATGCTGAGACAGCTATACCCGGCATGATTCTTTGACGAAAGTATCGACCCAGTAAAGGAATTTGAGTACTCTTTTATTACCGGACTGACATGAGTGTCCATATTACCGATGATCCAGAAACAAGAGTTGTCAGTTCTCTTTGGAGCTTTTCGCACCTAAGACGTGGTGTTGCGTGTTTAATAGCAAAATTTTATCACTCACCAATATACATCATGAAAATAAATTACGGCGTAGTAAGTTCACACCATTTCGTCATTCTAGTGGGGGCTACAACCAGTACGCAATCAAAGTCTCTGCCTCTGTCAGCGAAAAATTGCAGGCTGAATTGTAAAGAATAATCCCCAGTGTACCACCGTATAACCATGTCATCTGTCACACGCGATTCAGAACGGGTGAGGATACGATTGTTTTAGAACGTGTGCTTAGCAATCAGAAACTAACGATTGACACCGTAAACATAGGTGCTCCCCTTTGTCTTAGGGATCACGAGACACTGCTTGTCCGTTATATCTGCCATGCGGAATACATCTATTAAAAAAGGAGAATACCCACGTTGTCACACAATGCGAGCTACTGTCCAACATAGTTCAGACATTACAGAAGAGTAGTAGGGTGAGTTGAATAGTATAGGTAGAAATTCGTCACATCATAGTTCAAGGAACCAACTGGTCTTTCCTAGCTGAACAGCTGCCCGATTTCGCCTGGAGAGAGTTTGCCACACATTTTACCGGATTAGTGGTAAATGCTTCCGTGACCAACGTCTTTCGTCCGAAGCAAGGTAAGAAACGAAGTCCTACTTGAGGAACCGACTCAAAAACACACGGCCTTAAGGGTTCAGCCAGGCGTAATTTTAACGTAGACCTGAGATGTCGAAGTACAACGCATAGCTTGTGTCAGGTTGATCTTCAAAGACGAAATCAAACGCCAACACGACTAAGCGATGAAATTCATTACCAATCCTAGCATTCGTTGCAGGCGTGTCAACAAGTTTCGTGCAGTGTAGCGAGGAATCTCCGTTCCAGTTGCAGTAGATAGGCTGATGGAAACAACACAAGAAGCAGCCAGTACGCTTTGTCTGCATGTTTCCCGCATTTTCTAGGGCATGTTGTCAGCGCATTCTATTTTAGCACATCTACTGCCACCAGGATTAGGCTACGTGTCGTTCACAGCAGCAAATTTGATGAAAAGACCTGTCCTAGCACGTTCACAGCAGTTCTTGCGTAGATGACGCATGACCGAAGGCATAAAAGATTGCCATCATAAATATCGCCGAACCGTTAGATTGGTTCTTTTAACGGTGCTTTGATGAGATGCAGGTTCGAAATTCTTAAAGACGTGGTATGTTCGTTTCTCTTCACAAGGGTGGCACTTGTACGTATCCCAGGAACTACCG